AAAAACACGGGGGTGCTTAACTTTTTTTCCAGGTGTATATTTGTTTAGGTATGCCATCAATTTACAAGCGTTTTTGGTCAATACTGATGTTCTACATTCTATACTTATACTGAAAAAAAATTAATAACATATTTTTTTATATTATTAAAGGACAGATGGCTATACTTAGTGAAATTAAAATGCAAAACCAACGTTTAGACACGCAAGCAGAACTTCATAAAACAGTTTGAAATTCTTTAAATATTTATCATTTCTTACTTTTGAAATAAGTAGAAACATAACAATCACTAAACCATTGTTTTACTTCTGTTTATTTATTTATTTTTTTGCATTTCAAGAATGTACTCACTAGTCGCCATCAAAGAAATTCTTGATATACATATCCATGTTAAAGGATTGACTGCCACTCTTATAACGTACTTACAGCTTTAAAGAGCGGAAAATGTTTTGTGATATAACATGGATTTGATTTCGCTACACTAGAGTTCTACTAAAAAAATAACCCACTTTTTTTTCACTTCAAAGAACTCCACTAATTACAAATTTCTTCCGCAAGTTTAACATATTGCAGTTGCAGCTTTTATCTACGGATACACTTTTCATGACTTTTTTTTTTAAGAATTAACAAAGTTTCAAAGCATCTGTATTTTCACTTTTCCATAACGTTAATTTAGTAACATTTTTACGCAACGTCTCTTAAGAAACTTAGAAATTAGGAGAAGAAAAATATCAGAAAGTCTTTATTGTTATGTAAATAGCTGAAGGAATGTTATAAAGGATGGTGTAAATTACGTCATGAAATAAAAAAACTGGAAAAAAATGTCTTCCAATATAGTTTTTTTATTCTATGTTTAATGCTATATAGTTTTCAACGATTAACGAAATAGCATGATAAAGATATACCTGAGAAAAACAAAACCATACCAACTAACCACCCGTAGTAAGAACATAATTTTCTATTTACATCTGTAGGTTACCGTAATGTGAAAGTAATGTGGAAATGAACGGAAAGTAAAACGAGTGAAACGCAGCGAAATTCTTGCGAGGTTCCATCTCAGCTTTGTGCACGACACAGTCACGCAGAAGTTCGAAACATTTGTTATTTAAGATGGAATAAACAAGAAATGCACAGAAAACAGGCCTTAACAATATACAGAAACATGTTTGCCGTTCATCATTACCCTTATTAAGTTGCTTCCCTAAGTAAGTTCGTTTTCGTATTAAATTCTGACGACACAAATAATCAACTTGTTTTCAACATGTAAACCCAATTTTAAAGAGTTTGCCTAATGGTTGGCTTGCTCAGACGGTGAATCCGATGGTTCATGGTTCGTGTCTCGTTGCTGAAAAAAACCTCATTTCGCACTTTGGGGTTGTAGGAGTGCTATGCGGGTGATGTTCATATCCCACTATTCGGTTAGACACCATGAATGACTTTTACAGTGGCACAGCGGTATCTCTGCGGACTAACAATTCTAGAAACCGGGTTTCGATACCCGTGGTAGGCAGAGCACAGATAGCCCATTGCGTAGCTTTGTGTTTAACTACAAACTAACCAACCGACAGCTGCCTCCCAGTGGCACAGCGTAAGTCTGTGAACTTATAACGCTGAAAATCGCGTTTCGATACCCGTGGTAGGCACAGTACAGATAGCCTATTGTGTAGCTTTGGGCTTAACTACAAACAAATAATTTTAACAGGTGTTACAGGTAAGGATAACATAAGATCATTAATCGTAAACGAAAAACATTCAACTCATGGCTATTGAACTCCATTACCAAGATGAATCTGATCCCTACCATAATCTACATATTGTACACAAGCTTTTACCACGATACATTTGAAAGGAAAACATTGATCATAAGTTGACGTTTAGAAACAGCAATCTATTTTACTTTTGTGACTAAAAATCGCTTTTGTTTTTTGTGATGGAAACAAATACAAATATCTGATATTTTTTAAATAAATTAACAAACTTGAAGTTTTCTATCATTTAAGTTATTATGCGCGGTCACATACCCCTTCTGGTTATAGTAATGATTCAATCAATCATGGTTCGATAGATAGGGTTCTCCATTGTTCTTTATTCCTCGATGCCTTCCTAACTTTCTTCATGCAAGACTCTCATCTCCAAGCAATTTTCTTATATCGTCGAGCCTAACGAGTCTCTGCTTGACACTCTTTTTTCTTACTTCTATTTTACCCATCAGAGTCTCTGCCAATCTTCCCTTATATATATGCTCAAAGTAGCACATTTTCCGTTTCCTAGATACAAGTGTCCAACATTTCTT